AAAATATATTTATTCTCTGTAGTTTGTATCATAAAATAATATATTTAAAAAATGTCCAAAGATAACATTAGACAAGGAAACTTGTTTCACCAAATTTTGCACACCTGCCATCCATATTTTGACATGACCCCCTTCAAAAATATTCTTCCATAAGAGGAAGTGCTTAACATAAAATGGCCTAAAATGAATCTCAGAGAAGCAAGAGTTATTTTGTGAATCTCAACTACACTGCTTTCTCAAATGGAGGTCAAACCAAGATATTAAAATACCTCAGGTCATGAACAAAGGTGTGTATTAAAATGTTATTTGTTGGTCGTTTATTTGGAATGTAGAATCATGCCTTCACTAAACAAAATGTTATAAGTGGTGGCTCACCAATGTCTGATACACATATAAACTGAATAGTAATCAAATGATTTATGACATACATGGACTCATGTGAAGAGAAACCAGCTCATCCTCAAGTCTGAACGCTGGGGGCAGGGAACTCTAACATGGTATAGGAGAAGTCTGTGCCTCCGTGGAGAATTATGCATGGTTTACCTACAGCACGACTTTCCAGGTGACCCAATTTCAGCCTCTCTTTAACTGTCTTTGAGCAATTTTATATCTCAGTAAGCTGTAGGCAGCTGTGTTAGTTTCCTAGTGCTACCACCACACAAAGCCACAAACATGATGGCTTAGAAAAACAGAAGTGTGTTGCCTCACAGTACCAGAGGCTGCAAGTCTGACATGGAGGTGCTGGAGGGGCCACACTGTCTCTGAAGGATCCGTCCCCAGCTCTCCCAGCTCCCGGCAGTTGCTGGCTGTGCTCAGTGTGCCTCGGCTTGTAGACGCGTCATCCCAGTCTCTGCCTCCGTGTCCATGTTGTCTTCTCTACTGCATGTCAGTCTCTGTGTCCAATTTCCTTCTTCTTACTAAGATATCCGTCCTAGTATACTTAGGGACCACCCTAAGTCAGTATGACCTCACCCTAACTTGATTACTTCTGCAAAAACCCTATTTCAAGTAAGTTCACATTCACAGGTGCTGGGTGGACATGAAGTTTTGGTGGACACTCTTCAGCTCAGTACAGTAACCGATAGCAATGCGAAATGATTCCTGATTATGGATGTTCAAATTCTGTCCTGGTCAGAAGAGGTGCAGTTGCCTTCTTGCCCAGCCCAGCTGTCCTGGAAAAACCAGCCTGGCCCTCATTTGCACATCCATTTCCATATTCTAGATCTGTAAACGCACCTGTTCTTCACATTCTCTTTAAACTGGCTGGAACATCTGCCTGGTTCCTTCATTTGTTAAATAAAATCTTTAACAAGCATTCATTTTTATATCAGTATGAGAGTTGTGATTTTACTTTTTCTCTTTTTAAAATTATTATTTAACAGTAAAAAGGGGAGGAAAAAGAAAGCACCAAGG